AGAAAAATGCATCTTGTTTTGAAGTAGCAACTTTCCCCCCGGGGGGTGATTTGCCATGGGAACCACCGTCCCTTGGAGGCCATGACAGGAGCCTGGACCCACCCCAATTCAGCCACAAGCTGCTGCGCTCTGTAGTGCCCCGTACGGCATAGGAGAGGACAGGTCCTCGCTGTGGGAGTGCCAGCGTGCGGCACTCTGGCCACGCAGGTCAGATGAGGGGGGCAAAGTGAGCTCTTCCGGCCTTACCCCCGTGAATCTACAAGCTGGTAAAGCCCCTTCGTGCTGCAGCACTTGGTCTCTGCCAGCCACCCTGGCGCTAGAGCTGAATTCCCCAGAGAGCAGCGTGGCTGGGGGCTGGAGCTGGGACTCGGAGACCTGGGGCCTGACCCAGCCTTGCTGCTGGCGTTGGAGCTCCTGGAACGTACGTTGCCAGGGCTCCGGCCGCATAGTGACCCCATAGCGGGGCCGGACGCTGCTGCTGGGCTGCTCCGTGCCGGTCGGGGACGGCCCTGTGTGCCGCGAGCTCGCAGCTGCTCACCGGGTGCCTCGTCTCTGGTTAGATTTTCACCAATAAGTGTCTGAAGCCCGGCTGCAAACAGAGGGAGATGATGAAGGTGATCTGTGACCAGTGCCACGGGAACTTCTGCCTCAAGCACCGGCACCCCCTGGATCACGACTGCAATGGGGTGGGGCGCCCCCTCTCCAGAGCCGGGTAACGGACGGTGGTGGGGGGGGAAGTGCTTCGCCAGGGCAGAGCCATGCCCGCCACAGTGGTGATGACAGGAGAACTGCATAATCTGCGCTCACGCTGCCTCGTGTCCCAGCTCCCCCCCCCACATACCCGCCTCTTCCATGCTGGCTGGGTCTGCTCTGGGCACCCCAGCTCCACCCCCCGCCCGCCCCGCGCCAGCTGGGTCTGCCCTGGACGCCCCGGCTCCACACCCCCCGCCCGGCTGGGTCTGCTCCGGGCGCCCCGGCTCCACACACACACCCCGCCCTGCGCCGGCTGGGTCTGCCCCAGACGCCCCAGCTCCACCCCCCACCCCGCCCCGCGCCGGCTGGGTCTGCCCCGGGCACCCCGGCTCCACACACGGACCCTGCCCTGTGCCGGCTGGGTCTGCTCCAGGTGCCCTGGTTCCACACACGCACCCCACGCCGGCTGGGTCTGCTCCGGGCGCCCCGGCTCCACACACCCCACCCCGCGCCGGCTGGGTCTGCTCCGGGCGCCCCGGCTCCACACACCCCGCGCCGCGCTGGCTGGGTCTGCGTTCTGGTGCCAGGCGACCCCCTTGCAGGGCTGCAGCCGCAAGGTACAGAGGAGTAAGTGCCCCATCCCTTGACGCTGGTCTGTGGTGCAAGCCGCTAGCACGTCCGCCGCTCCTGCTGTTCGTAGCGGGTCTGCCCGAGGGGCGCGTGGCACTGAGTGACTGCACAGAGAGCAGGGGGTGAGGGAGCACACAGGACAGCAGGAAGGATTCAGGGCACACAGCTGGGGCTGAGTACCCGAGGGAGGGGCGGGGGACCTCCAGGGATGCAGAGACAGAGGGCTCTGCTGGGGGGGGGG